CCCTAAGGAGCTACACCCCTCCAAAAATGGCGGAAAATTTTGGTTTAATTGTTTTTTCTCAAAAACCATAAACGCTAGGAAAATGAAATTTGGGGAATATGTTTAACTCATAATAGGGCACGTTTTGACCCTATTTGTACTTTCAACCTACCCTTCTAAACTACTAAACGTAACCACCCCCTTTACATTTTTGCTAAAATTTTTTGTATGCAGATGATAAATACATTAGAAAAATTTTACATATCTAGATGAAAGTATCCTAAAACTTTTTTGTCTCTCTAAAATTTTCTCAAAAACGACTAATTTTTGAGAAAAAAAATAATAAAGCAAACACTGCCCAAATTAGTCGTTTTTGAGAAAATTTTAGAGAGACAAAAAAGTTTTAGGATACTTTCATCTAGATATGTAAAATTTTTCTAATGTATTTATCATCTGCATACAAAAAATTTTAGCAAAAATGTAAAGGGGGTGGTTACGTTTAGTAGTTTAGAAGGGTAGAATGAAAGTACAAATAGGGTCAAAACGTGCCCTATTATGAGTTAAACATATTCCCCAAATTTCATTTTCCTAGCGTTTATGGTTTTTGAGAAAAAAGAATTAAACCAAAATTTTCCGTCATTTTTGGAGGGGCGTAGCTCCCCAGGGGGGCCGAAGTCGCCCATGGTGCATATATGAAAGTACCCTTAAAATTCACTAAAGAATCACCCCTCGAAGTTTGTTGCAGTCATTCAGATACAGCCTGTATACAGGTGTCTTTTCTTTGCTAAAATTACTTTCAAAATGGATGTATTGTATATCAATGGATTCAGAAAAACAATCTCTATCCAATGACGTGAAGAAAAATATATGGAGCGATTTGAAAAACAAAAGTTAATAATCGTTTAAAATTGAAGATGGTCTTGGAACAAATTTATTTGTAGCATGAATCATAGTATTCATCAAACCATTTCATATGTTACCTCACTCATGAAAATCGGATTGTAAATGACAGAGTTACAGCTTGGGGCGTTTTTTGTGTGACACCCTGTATATATAGCTTCGGCTGATGATGGGAAAATGAGTTTTTAACGAAACTGGTACCGTTAAAATAAATTTTAAAAAGCAAGTAAGAAGTTTCAATTTACATTCTCTAAATTAATTTTGCCTATTATTTTGTACAATTGTCTAAATCTTAACTATGTACAATTTATGGGTAAATTTGTTATCAATATTTGTTATAAATAACTATTTTTAATTGCAGTTTTACATACAATTTTTGATGTGTGTTCATCTGCATAATCTACAAAATTACCAAAATCCTTGTTCTATTAGATATTTATATTTATATTTTTTAAAAATATTCCACTTACTGTTCACGTCTTTTTAAACGTTTTATAAAAAAACGGGTAATATAAACATATTCAATTCAAATGGATTGCTTGGGCAGAAGACAAATAAACATATTGAGAACAGCAAAAAATCTATTGTTCGTTATCTGTAAGAAGCGGGGAATATCGAGAAATAAGCCAAGTGTTCTTGCTTCCGAATGTCCGTCTCCTGAGCCCCTCAAAAACTCTGTGACCATGAGACTACACACATTTATTTGCAAAGGGCATCTATATTTAATATTTTATTCGAAAGGATTAATTTTCCAACATTGTTAACTGTTATATACTGATAAAAATGGTATTAAAATTCCTTATAGGATGTTGTAAAAAATACATTAAACGTATATTTGCAACACTGTGTAATAATTTAAAAATATACCCTCTATGAGACGATTGCCAAAGTTTTAAAATGTCTTAATTTACCGATTTTAGGTAGATTCCTTTACACAATCTAATGTATATTGAGGAAATCGCACATTTTCACTTGGTGCAGCTTCCCGTGATAATGACAAATTTTCTGCGCTTGTACTAGCGTGGAATCTATTCCTACGATATATGTGCAAAAAATGATATGCAATGTATAAGTGTATAATTTTCACATAAATCGCATTTATACGAAGTCGTTTTTATGGCAAAATTTAGCAATTTTTTATGATTAACATTCTAATTATTTTACAACAAAAAATACGTCATTTTGTACAGAAATATGTTAACAACAATCCTATGTATTTAACTTTGAATAAAGATATGAGAGAAAGCCGGGAAGCTGCAGTGAACCAGTGTCGGTTCATATAAAAATCGTCATTGAACGGCGGTCTTAAGGGTTACGGTGTTTTGATGGTTGAAAATTTTCTTTTTACCAAATGGGGGTTGTAAGCTGTTCTTGAGGGTAAGAGTGACCTGTGTGTGAAATTTGGTGACCCAAATCATATTGGTTACGGAATTATTAATGTTTTAAGTTTTTTGGCTGGGATGTATGGATAACTTCACACCACTAAACCTGAATGGCGCTATATCAAGTATTCTAAATTAAATCATATATCAAACACAAATTAGATAACAATATCTCAACCAAACAATATCTGGAATAGGATCGTCTCTAAAAAAAATCAGGACGACTTATTGAATCAATTATAAAGCACACATTATAAGTACACTTATTGAATATGTTAGACACATACTTAAAACATCAATATTTATCGTACTGGTCATTATAACTTACTTCAATATCTGAGATAGCAGATTTTAGGGTACAAGACCAATTTACTAAGCGATTTGATCTATAAATGATGCCATCATCATGTAATCTTACAAATGCTTCTGTTACAGCTGTACAAAGCTTTGGGTCCATCGTAAATGCAGCTCTATCCCAATCATATGAGGCTCCCATTTGTTTTAATTGATGATAAATTCTTACACCTTTTCTATAATAACACAAATTATTTTACACATTTAGAACAATTTAATTTAATAAAAAATACTAACTGGTTTTTCCATTCCCAAATTTTATCAATAAACTTCTCCCTTCCCAAATCATGTCTAGTTCTTTTCTCCTCCCGCCATAACTTTTTTTCAACAACTACTTGAGTTGCAATACCAGCATGATCACATCCTGGATTCCATAAAGTCATTTTGCCATTCATTCGATTCCATCTTATTAAAGAATCCTGAATTGAATTGGCTAAAGCGTGACCTAAATGCAATGATCCTGTTACATTTGGTGGTGGAATAATAATAGTATAAATATTTTCTGGGTTTTCATCAGAAATTGATAATCCCTAAAAGTTGAAAACACAATTATGACCCACAGTATGATAAATTATTATATATAACTTACATTATATTCAGGTTTAAAAAATCCTTGCTTTTCCCACCATGAATACCAAACAGCTTCAACATACTTGGGGCTATAAGCATCTGGAATAGGATTATCGACAACTTTTTTTTCACCTTCAGGCGTTAATATCTCATAAGTTGCCGCTTCTTTTACGTCCTTTTTCTTTTCTTTTTTCTACAATTAAAATTCTTTAAAAATTCACGGAAAACTAAATTCTCTAAAGACATATGTGAGTGAAATAGTTTCTAACCTCAACTTCTTTCTTAACGGGTGCGTTATTTTGTTTTTCTAATTTTAGTTTCAGTTTTTCCAATTTTGCCTGTTTCTTTGCTTCCTTTTCTAGTTGTTTTGCTGATTTTGGAGGCTGTACTTCGCCGTTTTCATTCAGTACCTTCTGTTCATCAGCCATTCTCAACACGCTTTTTTGACAACTAACGTCGCACATAACCTCAATTTATACTAATTTTATCTGTCATGTTTACGTCAAGTTGATGCAATATTAAAAGATGTTGAGATAATAGTATACATATATCTCGGTAAATGTTGACTTTATAAAAAAACATTTTAACAAAAGTTGTTTAATATTTTATTTTTGTTTTATTAATTAATTGTTAATTTTGTTTTTAATTCAGAAAACAAATGAGTAACGAATAACAGTTGAATTTTTTTAAATAGCAAATGTATTCTTTTATTAGGCTCATTTGATAGAGATTACTTTTCTCTTTACGATGATGTAAAATTTTTGTACCCTTACATCAGAAAATTTTTGAAAAAAAATGTAAAAATTGTTTATTAATAGAAATTAATCAATAACATTAATCTAGATATCCCAAATCGTCAAGTACTTCGAATTATTTGCGTTAATTATACTGGGTCCTTCAGCTCAGCTCCCATATTCTGTAGCTCAGTTATTAATTAATATTTTGCAGGCTTATACTGTATCTCAGGCGGCATTTCAGTAAATTATTATTGATTATACAGAGTGTCCCAAAAAAGTGTGACTCCATGATGATATATTTTTTTAAATGGCACGATATTTCTTTTCTCACATTTTTGGGTGTCTTTTATGGGTGCCTACATAGTTCCAAAATTTTATTGAAATCGTCTGAATGACAGCAGCACAAAAAAATAAAAACGAAAAAAAAATCGTATTTGCGTCGCTGGTTTTAAAAATTAATCATAATTATAAACAGCGCCTCATTAATAAAGTTTCATGTCAAACTTATTAAGTAAGATTCCAGGTGATCCATGTTGCAAGTATAGAATAATTTTAAACAGAAAAATTTTACTTCAAAACTTGCTTTTATTAAATATGCTCAGTACATGAGAAACCTCCCATCTTCAGCTGAATCTAATATAAAGACTGGATACAATATTAATATACATTACTAAACAATTTTAAAAGATAAAAAACTTAAGTCACAATTAACTATACAGGTGTCTCAGCGAGATCGGTCATTAGACGTTCCTGGGGTTCTGGCCAAAAAAAAAATTTGAGAATTCAGACTTAAGTATTACGTTCTCTTCGTCTAAAATATTCTCAGATATCTAGCACTTCCGGTTATACCGGAAGTCGCCACCTACTTTTTTTTTAAATGGAACATCCTGTATGTTTTTACATATTTTGATTTTTCTGTTTTCAAGGTTTATAAATAACTTTACTTTTTGCAATTTGATTCGACCGTTCTCGAGTTATTCGAATTTTTCTAGAAAAATCTGCTCCAGCGCACATTTGTTCAAAAAATCATAGAACACTCGATTTTCGAGATATCAATTTAGGATTCAGAACATGCTGAAACAACATGATGGAGTATGTTTTGGTGCCGAGAACGGCTGTCTAGATCGTTTGGTCACTTTACTATGACACGTTAACTTTTCGAAATTTGGAAGCAAAGTAACTTCATTTTTTTAAATGGCACCCCCCATATTTTATTACTTAGTCGTATTCGGCGTCTCACTTTACATCTTTTATACTCCATATGTCCTATGCCTAACATTAATAGTTTGAGAAATAATTTGGGTTTTTTGAGAAATGCTCACATACATCGATATTTACCTAATGTGCCATGGAAAACAAATGTTTAATGACTTATTGACAAACGTCAAAGTCTGATTTACGTTGTTTGATACTTGTGAGTCTAAAACCAGTTAAAATGGATATTAATAACGTAATAGTTATTTATATTACAAGTGGGCTAGAAACATAATTACTGTACGAGTGTGGAGAATTGCACGACGAGGTCGTAGACCGAGTCGTGTAATCACACGAGTCCACGTGTGATATACAGCATTTTATCTAGGACTTCTAAAAATTACTAAAAAATCTATTTCTTTAAAAAAGTCTATTTGACATTTATAAAAATATTTTGAAATGATTGTTGACAATTTTGAATTGTCAGTTTCAACAAAATGTTTACTCATTTGGAATAAGTGTTTCGAAATGTAAAAACATAACAATTAATGTTTATAATAAATACTATTGTTTCTCTGTAAGTAGATAGCACTTTTTCTTTTGTATTGTTGCTCGTTTCAATAAATTAAGTCTGTTCTGATTAAGCTAAAAATGCGTTACGTAATGAAACCAGTGCGGTAATGAACTTCATTACGTAACTCAAATCACCTCAAATGAGTGCGGTAATGATGACTTATCCAAGCAGTCGTTGATAAACAATATTTATACAAATGAAGAAATCCATAATTTATTTTTTGTGCACGAAAAGTGCGACAAAGTTCTTAGTAGAACTTGCAGAATGTTTAATGAAAATTATCCACATTTATCTCCGATGACAAAAAGGTAAATTTAGAAGAATAGAAGCAAATTTTTTGCATTTTGGACGAATTAATCACGTGTTAAAGTGACCAAAAAATGTAGTAGATAATGCAACGGAAGAGGTGAATACCTTGGCTTATTTCGAGCCCAGTCCCAACACCTCAATTCGAGCTGCCAAAGAAGATCTGGGAATCATACTACGAACTTTGTCGCGCTTTTCATGCATAAAAAATAAATTAAGAATTTCTTGATTTGTGTGAATATTACTTTCGTTAATGTTATCGATTTTAACTCTTTTCAGTACTAATATTAAGGGACATAACAGATAAATATTAGCTCACATGCATCAAGTGACGTAAACAAGTGAGTCTTTGACAAAAACTCATTGAAAAGGCTTGTTTTTCATGGCACACTAGGCTAAATATCCATATGATATGTGTGCATTTTTCAAAAAACCGTCGAAGGCCCACGAGCAACGAGCTTCGTGTGTGCTCGGCTCAGCCCGTTTAGCCAGCGGCATGTCGGATCTCACAACAGCGCTTGACCTTGAGTGTGCATTTCCCGTGAACATGACTGCACTGAATGCGTCCGACGGTCGTTGGTACTCATGACAATCTGTCACGGATCAGTCCGCGGCACGTCCACGGTTCGGTTGGAACCGCATTTTTCAACTGCGCAGGCTTGTGACCGTCAATTGGCAGTCAAAAGTGCGGTTCTAATGAACCTAATATTTAAAAGTTTATGGTGAGAGTAATAAAATTAAAAAATTCAAAAGAATATTTAATAAACCGATTTATAATGCAGGTATACAGAAAATATTTAAAAATATGTGTAATTCTATTTCCAGATAAGGGTAACTTCATGTCTCTTCCGCTATACAAAAATTAAATAAAATTAGTTGATTAACTTTGGATACTTATATGTTTAAAAAGTAAAATATACCTTTTTTTTCTTCTTCTACTACTGGATGTAAAATCGAGTCAATTGTATTCAAAAAGTCAGCTTCAGCTTCCATAACATGATGATCAACGAATATAAGCGGAGACCAAGATGGTTCTTTTTCAATTTCGTCACCTTTTTCAGCCTTAGCTTTTAATTTCAATCGAAGTTCTCTGTTACGACCTTCTAATATTTTCTCTCGTTTTGTTTCTCTTTCAAACATCTAAAATACATATAAATACAATATCTGCAAATTTTAAAATGTTTTGTTACTGGGAGAAATTACAATCCATACATTACTTATTATAGTAATGAGGACAATATACAGTGCTAGAATAAAGTAACCCCCACACCTTTTTAACTTCCGAACAGATTGAGATATCAATATGATCAAAAAAGCGCCAGTTTCTATATTTTACCAGCATAAATATTTTCTTATGGAAAATTTTGCTATCACTTTTAGTTTTTCCGGAAAATGGATCAACTTTGTTTTTTTAAATGGAACACCCAGTATATTATGGTATCTTCCGAAAGATGAAAACATCAGTACAAGAAAAGGATAAAAAGAAAGTTCTTCTTAAAACTTCTAAGAAAAAATTGTCATAACAACAATTTTAAAGTTTGTAGGTACCTTGAAATTTTGTATTTAAGCCGGCATGCAATGGCTAGAAGGAGTTTAGAGCACAAAATCGAAGCAGTTTTAATTTTGCTCGAGCTGACATAAATCTACAAAAAAACAGAGCGACAATTTAATGAACAATTTCCTGAACATCCAATTAGTCGAAAATATTTAAGAGAACTTGTAAATATGTATAAGTACGAAGGCTTTCACGGCCGGTGTTAATTAAACTAAAACTAACACAAGACATGTTTGACGTTTCGCATGCCATGTTGCAACCTTCTTCAAAAATAAGTTCGAAATGACGAATTCGGTTAAAATGTGACAATAAATACATGAAAAGGTATATTAATTAATAACTAATTAGTGTTTAATTGTCAACTATGTTGTTTTTGTCAAATCCGGGTGGAGAAGGCTTTCACAAGCAAGTTCGCTAGCATCTTCCATGTGCGGCTGAGTTCCCAACCAGCTTCTCTATTCACGTTATTTCCATGTCGATGAATCTCTAGCGCCTCTCTCGTCAATGTTTGTCCGTTTCTTGTCAGCACTTTGGTGTTATCTAACTCTATGGTGTGTCCTTCTTTATGGCAATGCTCTGCGACTGCAGATTGTTGGATCTTCCTTAGTCGGACCATGTTCCTTGATGCGGAACTCGATGTTACGTCCAGTTTGCCCAACGTAATATTTCCCGCAACTGCACGATAGCCGGTAGAGTCCCGCTTCCTTTAATGGGATTAGTTTGTCTTTGGCTATCGGAAAAGCGTTTTACATGCACTTCACATATAATTTCTTCTTTGGGAACCCTCTTTGGAGCGACTGCATAATTTAAGCCTTTGGCGAGTACTTTAGTTTCCTCCTCTGTTAATAGGACGTTTGCTCGGTTGATAACGACTGTTTCAATTGGCAAATCGTTGTTTTTCCTCTTGTGCGGCGGTCCAACGATTCGAATTTCTTAATCTGCTTATCCCGACATCTTTGGAATTCACGCTCAGCCTTCTCCATAATTATCCTGTCTACTTTGTCCCAGTCTTCTCTTGCCATGGAATTGAAAAGTGAGAGGTGGAGTCGTAGTAACCTCTCACTTATTCTCTGCAGATCTTTAAAGGTTTTGTAAATGCTTTCTCGTATCAGCGCCTGTTTTGTCTTAATCAAGATCCTACGTGCTGCAGTGGTGTCGATATGGTGCTTCACTCTGAGGAATGTTGGCGTTACCCTCTTTTCTCTGCATCTACGTAGGAAAGCCAAGCCACTTAATAGTTTGCGTTGTCTAATCCGTAAGTTGTCAAGATCTTTGATTTGTTTGTTAATATCCTGTTATCCGTTATTTGACGAAAAAATCAGTTCAAATTTGAACTGGTGGTAAACCGATGTGTTCTTAATATGGGGCATATTTTATTTTTTCGATATGCCATATAATTTCACGGAAAACCGCAGTTTAGTAAGATGCGGTTATTTCGAAAACGACCTGGCGGATTTCAACGCGATTTTTAACAAAATATGTCAAATAATGTCGGTTGTCAGATTCCGTTATCAGTTTTTCAAAATTAGGGCTCCCTACTTTTTTAAGAGCGATTTAATGGAATTATAAATTAAAGAGAAACAGAAATAAGCTATGCGGGGAGAGGAGGGTTCCGTCCAATTGGAACAGATGGTGCGTCCCAGACAGTACGTCGCACCTTTATCTTACCTACATAAAGAAATAAGGCGCGACGTCCTGTCTGGGACGCACCATCTGTTCCGATTGGACGGAATCCCCGTAACCCCGCAGAGCTTATTTCTGTTTCTCTTTAATTTGCAATTGCCGCTCCGTACGGGTTAAGGGTACGGAGTATGGTATCTCGAAAACGGTAAGGCCTGGAGGTTTGGAAAAAAATCCTTAGGCAAAGTGAGCAAGAGAAATAGGTGGAAATTATTTTGAAGATCGTAATACGACTGCTAGGGCGTGTAACTGCCATAGAGAAACATAAAATTACCGCTATCTCAGAAAGTTAAACGATGAGCTATAACTTTGACAACATCATTTAGGTCCATTACTACCATCTTGGTTGATAATAGTTCAATCTGTTATCACAATCGGTATCTGTTAGGGAATAATGTAAAACAATGTGGTGGACATATATATATATTTTTCTATTGAGGAATATTGTGGGCAATTGTTTTCCTGATTATGTGTAATCGCATTGCGCACCAATGTGATTTACGAATTCATAGAGATGTCTGAATGGGCTACACGTTGCCAGTTTCCCGTAATCGTTAAGCCAATCTTAAAAACACTTCTAGAGAAGAATGTCTTTCTTTGTCGTAATTACATTGTACATTTTTGTCATGCAGTTGCATCATATTCGAAACATTAAAAATAAATCATCATACGCTCTATCATGCACCTCTGCGTTAGTAAATGACATGTTTACAGTTACCATGGTTATGTAATTTGTTTTTCTCAATGAGGTAACTGGATCCGATTGATTTCACTCGAGTATTTAATATTTTCTTCTAGAAAGTGTTTTTTAAGCCAGATAGAACTTACGAAAGGGTTAACTGTTAAACGAACTGTCATACTGCGCTCAGTTTTTGCTATTTATGATCAGTATACTTTGGCAAATCATCATGAATAGATAGGCATTCTAGAAGTAGGTGTCATAAATAGAAAGTCAAAGCGAAGTAATCTCGGAGGACTATGAACACATATAGAACCAACAAGCATTGGAGAATCACACTTGTTGTTTAAAAGTTTGTAAAAATATAATATATCTCCACAAAAGCGACGCTGGTTGAGAATTAACATACGAAAAGAAGTGCAAGTTGATTCGTAATCAATGTATTGACCGAAAAATTTAAAACAAAGGTATTTGAGGAATTTAGATTGAATACGTTCAGTTCTAGATTTATACGAGAGATACTGAGGATTCCAAACGACGCTGCAGAAGTTAAATGTGCTGTAGACATAGACAAAATAGAAATTTCTAATTGCATCAATGTTAGAAAAAGCTACCGTGGATCTCATAATAAATCCTAACATACGCCAAGCTTTGGAAATAACAGTATCAATATGTTTATTAAATAATAATTTATAATCAGATGTAACACCCAAATCTCTAATAAATGAGACACGTTGCAACCTCTCACCAGCGACGCTACAATTGTAGTGGATCACCCTCCTAGAGAAGGAAATAACATTACACTTTGATAAGTTTAATGAAAGGCGATTATTGTTTGTATTGAAAGATTGTTTAAGAGGCTACTTTACCATACAGCTCGGCAAATTACAAAAAACATACATTATTTATGAAAATATTTGGATGAAATTTTGTACATAGCTTCTTCTAACAATTCTACATAGCGCATGGTGAAAATTTTTAAAGTTTTCCAAAAAAAGGGGTTTTTTTCCTCAATATTATAGAATTTGGTCGTTCTTTTTTAGCTTGCATGATAGTATACTTGAAAATAGTAACATTTTTCAAATAATTTTTTCAAAATTTTTAGTTATAAAGGAATAGTTTGTAATTTGCTAAAATTGCAAAAAGGTAGCGTAAAAATGAATATTTTCCGTCAAGATTCCCACGAAGTATTACCACCGCGTTAGTCCCGCCTCCTGCCGACTGAGCGGCGCTGACATCGACTCTCTTCATCGAAGCTCCTTGTTTTATCTATTACTTTTTAATGTGGTAGAGAAAATAATCATTTCCAAAAGTACGTTTTGAACTTTATTTTCCGTGATTTTCTACTAATGATTGTGTAATTTAACAAAATTTTTGAATTTATAGTCAATAGTTGTTATTTTATTGTGTACTATAGTGTTAGTTTAATTTAGTTTGTGTAAAGTTTTTATAAACAATGGGTAAGTATGTTCATCTAAAAAACTACCCCTTAGCATTTGAAGATGTTCTCGAAAAAGGAGTAATAGACGGTAATAATTTACGATATAAATTTTTATAAAATCTAAAATTTCATATTTTATAGTCCGAGATTCAATTGAAAAATGTATTCATTCCGAAAGGTAAGTTAAATTTTATTAATTTTATTGTATAAACTGTGGCACACATAAAAAGGACTTATTTAAAAAGAATAAACCATCACAGTAAAAATTAAAACGATACATTATTTGAAGCGATACCATAAGATAAATAATACAAATGATGCAGAACCAAATACTGATGGTGGAGAATAATCCATTCAACTGCAACAAAACTCACATTAAATTTATTAATGAGTCAAAAGAAGGGCTTAGCAGCTCATTTCTTTTATGTTTTATGTGCGGGATAAAAAAGAAGCTTTACACTGAAGAAAGCAAAGAGTCTATTGAGATAAACTCTGCTGTTGTTTCTGTTATCTGTCGGTACCGGATATACACAGGCTGAAGAATTATTGTTATGTGTGGATATACCATTTATGTTAACAAAACCATTCCAAAAATATCGAGAAACCGTAAGTGACATGGCATAGCAGTCTATGAAGAACGCAGGTAAAGAAGAATTAATTTAGTTACAGCTTCAGAAGAAGTAAATAAAAACTGAATAAAGACTGTAAACGCTAAACGCTCGAACGTCAATTACGATGCATCATCCGGAGTGGTACTGCTATAAAATAATTGTATACATAAAAAAAAATACTCGTGTATACGGGGTAATTCAGGTAGGTAGCGAAAGCCGATCAGGGTAATGATAGCAATTCGGTTATAATTTATGAGTGACATTTCACACGAAGAATATAAAAGAAAGAAGAATTTATTAGAAACTTGCAAGATGGATGCATTAACAGAAATAAAATACAAATTCTTACCAGAAGCTAAAGTACCAATCAGATATGGATCCAAGAAAGGTATCTGTGCCTAACTGCATCGAGATTTGGTGATGTATGTAGGATGAGAAATGACACGTCTTGCTTAAATAAAGTTAAATCAATCTTGTACTCGAAATTTGCTAGAAATAATAACACTAAACATGGCCAAGACTATGAATGGCTTGCATTAAAAAAATTTGAAAGTAAATATAACTTGCCAGCAAACTCTTGAGCTCTATTCATCCGTAGGATGTATGGATTCTTAGTTGCAAGTCCAAATGAAACAATAAAAAACGAAAATGCCATCGTCGAGGTGAAGTGTCCAGCGAATTTCAAGAGCTTACATCTATTCAACGATGGCAAATTAAAATTTCCTAAAGATTTTTCTAGTCAGGGCTGTTTTATTTATTACACTATTAGCCATATTTTGTATACTTGAATCATTATTTAATATTATTATTAATTAGGTATTACATATTATTTCATTTACTTATACAAGGTGATGCAGACCATGCAGTCCATTTTTTTAAACAGAAATATTAAAAAAGTTCGAATGAAAAGTAATAATATTCATAAAGGAACCACATTTATTCAGCTATTTTTTCTTTAATTTTTGTAACTACCTGTGTTTTCAAATAAAATTACTTACACGGTTACTCTGAGACACCTGTATATCAAACGAACGCATAATAATACAACAAAGATATAATTTATAAATGTTGTACCGAACTTTTCACATTCCCTGTATTGCAAATATATCTATTTTAATATAAAATGAAGTTATAAATGTTATTTTCGTTTCAAAATGATATAAATGTTTTATGCCTCGCAAAATTATTTATTGCATTTGAAATTGATTTTTGCCTTACATTCAATTGAATTATAAACCCATAATCTTAGATGTTCTCAACTTCTTTCTCTAATTTCTCTATTAAAAAATTAATATTCTATTCATATCGAAAAAAAGCATTAAAAAACTGATATTTGCGTAATGTAAATTGTTGTGAACCAAAATACTTAAAAAAACAAACGTAGTAAAAAGGTGGGCTACGACTACGATTATTAATAAAAAATCAAAATAATAAATAAAATGGAAAGTCAATAAAAAGATTGATTGTAATTCGTAATTAAGAAAAATTGTTAATAAACAATAATATTTAGAAGAAGTCGTTTAATTTCTTCATTAACAACATCGACGAGAAAAAGAATCGTAATAAAATAAACACGATGTTTTTTTTTATCTATAAAGGGTCGGGCCTAGTAGAAAATAAACTCCGCCTCGTTGCTTCCGAACGTCCGTCGTCTGCGCCCCTCAGAAACTGACCGACCTGGTAAAGTGGGCTCTTAAGTCAGATTGCAGTCTAGAACAATCAAGAGGTAAGGAGTTACGGAAAAAGAGTTTTAAATCGTCAGCATACACTAAACATTGGGCATAATTAACCCGGTCGAAAGCTTTACTAAAATCCGTATAAACTGAATCAACTTGACAAGAATCATCCAGAGAAGATATACTGGGTATATTCAAGCAAGTTACTCTCCACCGAGCGACCAGCAAAAAAACCATGTTGTCTAGAATTGATTTTAGACTTAAGGGCAAAGAATAGACGTGCATGAACTACTTTCTCAAACACTTTACCAAATGCTGGCAAAATAGATATGGGGCGGCAATCAGGGTCCCAAGATTTAAAAATGGGAAGAACAAAAGCCCGCCTCCACAATGAAGGAAAGACACCCATTATTAATGAAGCATTAAATAAAATAGTTAAAGGAAGGATAGAAAGTGTGAACATTCCTTGATTAAAATTGATGGAATACCATCAGTACCAATACTGTCTGTAAGCCTGGCGCCCATCAGGGCCTCCTCAACCTCAATTCTGTCAAACTGCATCTGATTCAAAGGAAGGGCATCCATTTTCAAATAATCTACATTTTGCTGGATTGGAGCAGGATTAGCATACTGCGACACCGTCGCCGACAACAGTTCCATTCCATGACATCGTAGAAGAATTGACATCCACACGTTTCCTAGATTTAGTATAAGCCCAAAACACCTTTGGATCAGATTGGATATTGCTTTCAGCTCTTCTAACATACTCCATGTAATTGTGATGGATTAGATACTTTGCACGACTCGGTATTATATGAAAACCAAGTGGGTAAACCCTTGATAGCTTTGCGTTTTAAAGGGACAAATTCACGTATAGCAGTATTAACATAGTTATAAAAAAATTTGAACAGCGTCGTTGATATCACGACCAGCGAGTTCTGATTCCCAGACAATTTTATTAAAGTACTCATTTAATTCGGGAAACCGGGCTTTTCTAAAACAAAAAGCATCACCATAAGGTAATGAACGAGTAAAATGAATTGAGCAGGAAAACTGTAGAGTGGAGTGCGCACTGTCCTCAAGAAGCAATGGATCATTAGCAAAGCGAGATTTGATATACATCGGTAGAATTAGTAATAACAAGATCAAGTGTGTTTAAAGAAGAATTTGTATGATAATTTAGTTGGTTAAGTCCGCAAAGGGAAAGAACATCCAGAAATTCACAGGAGCGGGCGCTGACGAATCCGAAAGCAGTGGCGAAACCGGAATCCAGGTCAAGTGACCAATTTAATTCAGGCAAATTAAAGTCACCACAAATTATAAAACGATCATTAGGTTTACTTTCGATAATTAAGGTTAATTGATTTTAAAAAAGTCGTTCTAAGTTTACATTTTCAAGGACAGTTTTTGACGTTTCATTAAAAAAATGCTAGCCGGAGGCGACCGATCGAAAGCGGCCGTGTTTGTTTAAAGCTGTGCTGGAAAATGATGTTGACCAAACAGAAATTTGTTATGTCCGTACTAACCTCATTTTTTCAAGTGACATTTTTTGATCGGAGTGAATACCATCTACAAGAAATATCATTTTGCACTCTAACAGAATGTTGCAGATAACGAAGACTCAACCTTTGATGACGACAACTTAATGTTCGTGTTCAATAAATTTGTCATACCTAGCCAACAATAAAATACTCTCTGCATACAACTATTTTTGGAGTTTTTACTCCATAATGGTGTTTCAGGTCAGTTTGATTCGTGTAGTGTCCCACCAAGTATAACAGTAGTATGATAAGTCTGACAAACTACCAAAAGCCATTATGTTAAAGTTTCTTTCTTGAATCTGCACCTTTCCAGAAAATTCCAAAGCAGGAATTCGAGGGAATTCCACAGAGCTTCAGATGATGAAGTGTAATTTCATTTTTTGACGCGGCAGTGAAGTTGAACCTTTGGACCAAGTGAAAGACAAGAAAACAATAATGGATTCCTAATATCTTTCCATTTTTTGATTATCTTCTCAGATTCTGTATCTTATGCTTTGTTGCCAATCTAAAAATATAGTAGGAATTAACCTGTTGTTAGTAGAGGTGACACCGCAGAGGGGAAAAAAATCTTACAATTAGATATATCTAGCGATTATAATTTAGTGAGAAACTTTTTTATAGTAATACCGGTATTAGTACCGGTATCCCGGTTTTAAAAATATTGAATACCGAATACCGGTATTGAGATTTCGGTCCGGTATTGCAAGCCCTAGTCTGCCCCTTTCCAAAAGGAACCAACAAGAACAATAGATGAAATCTCAACCGACCACAGCAACACAGTAGTTAATTTATATGCAGTATGTCCCCGGATCGAGTTATAAAGAGGAACAAAATTTTTGTTACTGATTTTTCAAACTTGTCTCAACATAAATAATGCGTCGGATATGTTCAAACTACTAAATCGCATAAATTTTATACTCTAACTATAAAAGTTAACTAATTATTCCCATTTTTATGTAAAAATTGGACTCTTTTCTAAATTGAAAAATTTTCAAGTTCAATTTATGATATTATCCATTATTATCCAATTATCCATTACTACCATCTTTTAGTTAAATTTATCTTATAGATAAACCCATCTACTAGCCAATCAGAGCGCGTAAAATAACCGTAACCGTAGTAATAATCCCTTAGATAGCTTAGCCAGAAGATGGTAGTAACGACCCTAAGGTTCATTACCACCATCTTTTAGTTAAATTTATCTTATAGATAAACCGATTCAGAGCCAACCAGAGCGCGTAAAATAGCCGTAACCGTGGTAATAATTCCTAAAGTCGTTTCGCAGTTAACTAATAGATAAACGTTATCCGATAGTTAGACTAACAACCAGTTTAACTAGAGGTGGTAAAAATACTACACAATTTATTGAATGAATTCGAATTGATAAGATGTTTACGAATTAAACATTTATTGCGTCTTGGTTATTGCATAACTGCGAAACTTTAATAAATACAGGTCGAATTATTTAACTCCTTGAAATAATCACTCACTTGAAACTATCAAATAATGGATAACTTTTCTAACGAAAATATAACTTAGAATCACTGATATCCAAGCATAAAGCATCTATACGAATGATGACTAAATTAAACAACACCAAATTTTGTTTATGCAAAAAGATTTGGAATTTAGCCTTTGAACTAAAAAAGAAAAGGTACTTATCCTGAAAATGCACATCCAAAAACTAATCTGCATATACTCGTATAAGAAACGAAATAAAGTCCAGAATAAGCTATAAGGAGACAATATTACAGTCAATTCATCAGCGATATAGACTATGACCTGTATGGAGCAATTGGAAAATGTTCAACGAGTATGAACAGACAAACGTGGTGATACAGGAAGATTGAGAAAAATATTTTACACTCCCGAAAAGGCAATACACGTTAGTTAAGCTGTAAGCACAAAAACTATTATCCAGATAGAAGAAGTCGAAGAAAAAGTTGGAAAACTGAAAAAGAGGTGTCTCCTGGAATCGACAACACACCCAATGAATTGCTCAAATATGTCGTTTCGCAGTTAACTAATAGATAAACGTTATGCGATAGTTAGACTAACGACCAGTTTAACTAGAGGTGGTAAAAGAGGGCCTTAGCCAATGAGAGCGCTTAAAACCGCTGTAACTTTGGTAATTATCTATCAGTTAAATTTATCATAAGGTGGTAAAAGTGGGCCTTAGTGGTTTGAACATATCCGACGCATTATTTATGCTGATATAAGTTTGAAAAATCAGTAATAAATTTTTTTTTCCTCTTTGTAACTCGACCTGGGGACATACTGTATACAGGCTGTTATAAATTGCCATATAATGTACAGTCGTGATCTTGGGAAATGCACACTCAAGGTCAAGCGCTGTTGTGAGATCCGACATGCCGCTGGCTAAAAGGGTTGAGCCGAGAGCCCACGAGTCAAGAACTCTTCGTGTGCGCTCTTGACTTCGTGTCTTAATTTTAAAATGTTGTTCCATGCTTTATAAGTCTTCATTAGGTTCTCAAAGTTCGGATAATTTGTCCATAAATAATCATTAATATTTAATATGTGTGATAAATAAGCTGTAATTTAGAATAAAAAGAATTTTGAAAACTAGTTTTTTTGTTAAGGTTATTTTCTTTAGCTTTAAAATTCGTTTTTAAAATTTTTTCATTGTCATATCTTCATGAAAAACACATTTGGCAACATAGTAGAATAACATATTAGCATTTATCATATTAGCGCACACGAAGAGCTCTTGACTCGTGGGCTCTCGGCTCAGCCCTTTTAGCCAGCGGCATGTCGGATCTCACAACAGCGCTTGACCTTGAGTATGCATTTCCCAAGATCACGACTGTACACGTAGCGACATTCTTCGATGGACTCTGAATCGAAAATCTTAATGCTAATATGTTATTCTACTATGTTGCCAAATGTGTTTTTCATGAAGATATGACAATGAAAAAATTTTAAAAACGAATTTTAAAGCTAAAGAAAATAACCTTAACAAAAAAACTTTGAACTTTGAGAACCTAATGAAGACTTATAAAGCATGGAACAACATTTTAAAATTAAGATTAACGCTCAATCATTTGTGTGTTTACTGTTTCTGTCTGACTAAAGTTGTCTTCATCATTTCCGCAGAATGGCGGAAAATTTCAGTCAAACAAGGAAATAATTATTTTATTACTACGTTTGCCGGCAATGCGTGTAATGACTAGGTTTTCCGTGAAATAACGGATTACGGCTTTTGCCTACGACATAAGTATACACGCAATTATGCAAGTTCAGACAAGAACCTTCCTCTAGCAACAACCCCATTTTAGTTTCGATTCGGAAAATCCGATAAATTATGCAGAAATAAACTTGTTGGGCTGTTGAGGACCAAAGTGTTTTAGGGATTTTAATTTTTTTAATAATTAAGTCACCTTGGATACTTTCAGGTATTCCTGGAAGTATATGGCCGTAAAACAATAATTAAAAGAATTACAACTATTTTTAAAACATCGTTCGCCTGAGGGCGTGAATTATAGGGTTAATTCCATCGAGTCTGCGACTTATCGAACCGTACTAAAACTGTCGACTTTATACGACCTGTATAAGTATTAATTTACATTTATTCATATTGAGTTAAAATAAAAAGATATAGAAAATAAACTCGTACTATTAGTACAAGAACTTAAATATAAATACTAGTAAAAACCATAAATTTCTTACAGCTGTTAATAAGGCCTTATCATTTTTAGTTGAAAAAGATAAATTTTCGCTAAATTCCACCAAATAAATGGTTCCTTTTTGACTCCCAACAGCAACTAATCGACCGGCTTCATGGGTTCTTATTTTTGTTAACGCATCATCGCAAATTTTAACTCCTATACAGGCGTGTTTTTGTTGTTGTAATATATCCCAAACGTCCAAAACACCATCTGAACGTGTTGTAAAATAAACAGAGAATCTGAAAATGTATGTATAAAAATAAGATAAACGACAGTTAATTGATTTTTAATTTGTGGTTGCTACTCTAAACAAATTAAAGCAGTAAATCAGACCTAATTTATAAGAGACACAAAAAAGTATTGAAAAGAATATACCATGAATTTCACTTAAGATGCAATATACAAACTTGTATTTCCATGAAAACTAGGGCGTATCTATTTACAAACTGTACTTTGTCCCACATAAAATGCAACATGTCAGTATAATTTAACATTAGTAGCATTTTGATATAATATCATACAGAAATTTAATATTAATATTAAAGCAGGAAGCGAAAACTCAGCTACTGGCATGGCACCTTTCGGGATTGAGTTTGCACGCAAAGGCTAACCGGAAGTAGACCATAACTTCGTTATTTTAAATGAAATGCTGTAGTTTTTATTACACCTTTTAGGGCCGATCTTACAAAACAGTTTACACCGCTCCGTATACCAAGAATAACTAAATGTTGGTATAAACACTAGAACAAACGTCTTACAATACCGACGTATAGCATAAGTAACGGTATATGGCGCGGGATAGCTATACCGTGCAACGCAACGCGAATAGATTATGCTAGGAATAAGTCAGACTGTTTGATATTGATTATGCCATCGCTTTAAATTGAAGATGGCGTTGGAAAATGTTTATTTGTAGCATGAATCATAGTATTTATTAAACCATTTCATTTACCTCGCTCATAAAAATCGGAAGGTAAATAACAGAGTTACAGCTTGCGGTGTTCTTGTGTGACAACCTGTATACAGGGTGATTCAAAAAACCGCTGACAGATTTCTAGAGTAGATAATACATGAAAAATTAAGATGAATAGTCTTTATATACATGGGGTCGCAAATGCCTCCTTAACGAGATATAGCGGGTCAAAGTTTCTTTAAAATTTAACATTACCTGCAATAAAAAGGCCTTTTTTAAAAATACTGTTTACACCATTACTAATTTTGTCAAACGGGCAGTATTTTCGTGTAAAGTAATCAATTACCTATCAATTGGTCTCTTACAAAACTTTGATCAAAGCAATAGTTTTTAAGAAAAACACGTTTGTAGAAAATTTGGTAATCCAATCAAAAACTATTGCTTTAATCAAAGTATTGTAAGAGACCAATTGATAGATAATCGATCATTTTACAAGAAAATACTGCCCGTTTGACAAAATTAGCAGTGGCTTTGAAAATATTTTTAAAAAAGGGCTCTTTATTGCAGATGTTTAATTTTAAAGAAACTTTGACCTGCTATATCTCGTTAGGGAGGCATTTGCGACCCCATGTATATTAAAACTTTTCATCTTAATTTTTGATGTATTACCTGCCTAAGAAATCTGTCAGCGGTTTTTTGAATCATCCTGTATACAGGATGTCTTTTCTCTGGTAAAATTACAGTCAAAATGGATGTATTGTACATCAATGGATTCAGAAAAACAATCTCTATTCAACGACATGAAAAAAAATATATGGAGTAATTTGGAAAACAAAAGCTAATTTCGCTTGATATTGAAGATGGCATTGGATAAAATTTATTTGTAGCATGAATCATAGTATTCATCAAACCATTTCATTTGATACCTCGCTCATGAAAATCGGTATGTAAATGATAGAGTTACAGCTTGGGGCGTTTTTTATCTGACACCCTGTGTATTTCGAGAATTGAAAGAATTCAAAAGAAATTCGTAAAGTACCTTTGTCATAAGTCCGCAATTAATTACATTGATTACGATTCCACATGCTCATCCTTCAATCTTTTATCTCTTCGTCAGCGCCGTCTTTGTAGTGAAGCCTTAACATACCACAAAATTATCAATGGCAGCTTCGATTCGCTAGCACTTCTTGAAACCGTTAATATATGCGTTCCTCCCCGATTGCTTCGATTAGATTATATATTTCACACTCCCATTCCTCGCACGAATGTCTTTCAGAATTCTCCTATGCTGAGAATGGCACACACTTGTGATCATTTTCATTGCAACGCTGTCTCCAGTAGTTCACGTAGGGAATTTAAACGTTTGGTAATTGCATATTCTAAGCTTAAAGCTGATCAATTAATTTAAGTAATTCCATAATGAAGTTTAATTTGCGTGTTCTTTTTTTTGCAACGTCTTGTTATTATTATAAAGTCTATCCTTTTATTTTTATTATCTCAATTAACTCGTTACTACGTTAACTCGTTTTACTCGTTACGCTATTAAAGTAATTTTGGTTTAACATTGTTTTTTGGTTATTTGTTTTCGTACTATTTTGTGGCAAAGAGTTTGTGGGTTCGTCCCGTTTCTGTGCCTATAGTGTTAATAATAATAAATAAATAAATAATAAAAAAATCTTAGCGGGCTTTGCGGTCTTTGTCAGAAATATTTTTGACGTTTGAATGTCGCTGTTTTTCTTGCTATTATTGTTGTTTTTTATAATTTTGAAACGTCGAGTGAACGAGCGTAAAAGCGATAAAACTTTATTCAAAAATTAATTTAAAAACAGTGATAATGGTGGGAAGAACACTGACATTTGAACGTCGGGGGTGTTTCTGAATAAGATCTGCTGAGATTTTTTCTAGAAAAATTAAAAAAAAAAAATACAAAATAAATTTCAAATATCGGCGTTGTAATAATCTGCCATAATGTTCAATGACTTACACGCGTCGTCAAATGTAACTAATGACAACAATAATACAAACATGGACCAAAAACTGTCAAAATTCCATAGCTTTCTAATAAAAAAACCTGCATTTCGTGCATGTTTTAATAAATTTCCCAATATAGTAGACGCCACGAGAGCTGGCAGTAAATCATCGTGTTCTGCTCTTACAAATGCCATACGTAGTTCACAAACCTTATACAGGGTGTCACACAAAAAACGCCCCAAGCTGTAACTCTGTCATTTATATTCCGATTTTCATGACCGAGGCATCAAATGACATGGTTTGATGAATACTATGGTTCATGCTACAAATAAATTTGTTTCAAGGCCATCTTCAATTTTAAGCGATTATTAACATTTGTTTTTCAAATTGCTCTATATATTTTTCTTCACGTCATTAGATAGAGATTGTTTTTCTGAATCCACTGATGTGCAATACGTCCACTTTGAATATAATTTTAGTAGAAAAAAAACACCTGTATATACAGGTTGTCGCACAAGAACGCCGTAAGCTGTAACTGTGTCAATTAACTTCCGATTTTTATGAACGAGGTATCAAATGAAATAGTTTGATGAATGCTATGATTCATGCTACAAATAAACTTTTTCCAACGCCATCTTCGATTTCAAGCGATTATCAACTTTTGATTTTCAAATTGCTCGGTATGTTTTTCTTCACGTTATGGGATAGAAATTGTTTTCTGAGCCCATTGATGTACAATACATTAACATTAATTGTAATTTTAGCAGAGAAAAACAATTAAAACATTTTCCGAACATTGTCTTAGTCACTTCTGTA